TACATTTTACAGCACTCATCACCCTTTATTCAATCCAATTCATCTCAATTAACAGATTTCGAGTGCACGAGGAGAATGCTTTTTTTACATTTATTCCAAAATCTGCGTAGTTTTCTTCCTTCGTGGTCCAGAGAGCAACGAGCCTCAGATAAAGCGCTGTAAATGCTGCCCTTTATCCGTGGCTTTCTGGAGGAACGTTATTTCGATGATTAATCGCAGTGGAGATGAGCAGAAATGTTGAGTGTTTATCGATGCGATCCGGGAATTTTTTAAACTTTGCATCCTTCTCCACCTTCTCTCCTTTCCTTTTTCTTTTCCCCACAATCTTCTTTTATCTTTTTTTTTTCAGATCCAGAACGTGCTTGCAGCAACATGAAGAAGAACGGATGTTCTTTAATCCGTTCGATTTTTTTGTTCTCCTCGAGCTTCATCAGTATTTGTTTGTTAACCGCAGGAGCGGCGTGCTTCCTCTTCGGATACAAACGCAAATTCAGGTGAATCCTTCGAAGCCAAGTTCACTTTCAGGTCTTTTCTATTTACTTATCTTTTGATGTTTTATGTAACAGTTATGCGAACTTTGACTTCCTGGATTGAGGCAAATCCGTCTGACCGATGCAGCAGTTATAAAACCTGGGTGATACCTGATCGCATCGAAATCCACGGTCTGGCAGCGCCTGACGAAGCAGTAAGATTGCTACAATTTTACTAAGATCAGTTGGCGTACCACAGGTCAACTTTCCGATGTCACTGGTTTCCTACACCCCCAATTGTCTTATTATTCCTGTAATACAGTTGAAGAATTCTGATTTTTTGTTAAAAACCTTTTTATGCGTTTCATAAAAAGATCTTTCATCTCGAGACCCTGAAAAGCTGCAAGGCTGAAACTCTGACAACCTAGTCTCATATTCATGTGATACTGATGTACGGGCACATAAAAGTTTTGGCGAAAAAATCGATAACTCCTGAAGAGCCAGAAAAGCTGGAAGGGTGGAATTTTAAGAGGATGTTTCCAGCCCACATACAACTTAAAGATTTCAAACTAGTTCCCAGGTGTGCATGGTACTCAGGTGCCGATTCGTGAAAAGTTTTGGCGGATAAGTTGCTGATTTGCAAACCAAGGAGCTAGAAGGCTGAAATTTTAAGGGAGAACGCATCGGCAAGTTTAGGTAGTGACCTAAGTTATGATCGATTACCATAACACAACTACTCCTAGCATATAGGAGCACCACAATAGCGACATTAACATCGAGTAGCAACGGCGATTGTCCAGCTGGTTTCCGTATTCTTGATTTCGTGGCTTCCAGTAAGCCGGCACATACTCGGTCGACTGTCAGTCAGCCCTGGCACTACACAGTCCAGATGAGTCATTGCTACCACCCATTTTACTCAGTTCTAGCTTCAAATAAAAGCTGTGATGACCAGTGCTCAGTGCGCGAAGACTCAGTGCTGGTATTCGAGAGTGACACCAAAAAAAAAATGTTGCTGAGGACTCGCCCTCCGCGCCACTTAACCTCAATTGTTTGCAGCTCGGGTCTCCGTCAAAAATTTCACGTGTTCGTACATTAGACTCATAGGTAAGTGTGAGAGTTGATACGACGTTCCTGTGAAATTTTGTACAATTTCTCACATTTCATTGTGTACACTGCATCTTTTGTGTATAGCATTCATTATAACCCCCACCACCCCTCATGTTAATGTCTTTGGCTGTCTATCAGCCATGTTTTTTTAAAAATTTTACAAAATTTTTGCGTCCCCGAATTTCCAAAAACGCATGGAAAGATGGCCC